ATAAATGCATCAATATTCTTTTGCTAATATCTCCTGAAAGAGGGGTGAAACCCCCTACTCGGCTTAAGCCTAGCATCGTCAAAGAGCCGGATATAGGAAGCAGGGGTGTGTACGAGTTCGCGAGTAAAGTGCTCTTAGCCTTCCGAAAAAGATAATAAAGGAGGTGCTAGCCCCGGGGCACACTGGTCAAACCCGAATTGGCATGCTACTCTGTCAAGTCTATAGACGGTGCTATCAACGCCTTCCTCATGCCATACTGGTAATGAACTCGGACGAACTATTATTAGCATATTAACAAGGTATGCAGAGATGCCCATCGGTAAGGGAAAGGACACCAGGCGGAAGGAACCGTGATAGATAAATGTCGTTGCCACACCCACCGATGGGCATACATAGGGGAATGCCACAAAGCGCCGAGGATCATCCACCAAAGAATTCAGGGATAGGGTGGATATGACACGTGACCAACGTGTGATTAACGGCTGGCAAGTCTTCGATTTCTCAAATGTGCGAGACCCGTCAGTATTAAGCACGGGGATACCATCTTTATCCACTATCTCCCGAAGAACCTCTGCCTCGAATACAGTTGGAGTAGGGGCAAACTTTGGGAACCTCTCGAAGAAAAAACAAAGCAGGAACTGGCTGTGGATGAAAGAGACAGGCTCATATCGACCCACGGAACGAACCATGTCTCGATGTAATAGATCCAACCGGTAATAAAGATCCCAAGAAATAGCGGAGCCAAAGGAATTCGATCCCCTCTAAAAAGCCTAACTGCCAAAGGAAAGACAAAAGGATTGGGAGAATCTAGAGGTGTACTCGGAAGAATGAAGAATGAGAGGAAGCAAGCCAAAAATCCCAAAAAATAGAGCCTAGAGCCATACATTGGGCCGACCTCGTACTCTCGAGAATCAGGTCAGCATCTCTAGCCAGGGGCTGAAGATCTCTGAAGAAGTGGCGGATCCATGCGGTGTAGGAGGCATGGTCCGTCCTCACTCGATTGGTCCTCCTCGCTAAACCATCAAATACAGAACTCTACCGACCACAAGCTTGAAGATTTAGCTTTAGAGATTGGATTAGAGAATCATCCTCGGAGGGTGTCCGCTCAGGGTAGAATGCATCAGGGCTAGTCATTTCTAGACGCAGCAACATGAACACATCTTCGAGGGTGAGCCCCATCTCATGCTGGCCAAGTATGAAAGTCTGTGTCTCGGTGCTCCACCGGAGAGTCATGGCTTCAAGGCTAGCATTGTTGCGCGGATGGATAGGGATCGAGATATTTCACTGGGATCAATAGCCGGGTCTCCTGAAGTCGTTGACAGAGGCCCCTGTCCGAGAGGACATCATCGACCCACTCCTGCCAACCAAAAGGAGGGTTTGAGAAGGCCTTGAACTGGGGATAGCAATATGAAAAGTCCCCCCGCTCAACCCTAAAGCGTAGCACCAAAAAAAAAGAAATGAGGGCCTCATGTCTGGAGTCAGTGTCCTCAGAGAGACATAATAGAGCCCCCTTCGGAGACAGAAGAGAAATGGTAGAGGTAGCTGCTCGCCATAGTGGGTCCTTCCGACCAAAATAAAGAGATTTCCTCCACTCGGACGCCAGAGGCACATCTCTCTCTTTCATGAGAACCGGTTTTAATGACCCCGGGACGACGGATTTCTTGTGAAAAGACATATAGCTGAAATAACGGGTATAAATAGCAAGAAGTCAATCGTATCAAAATCCAGAATATTGAAATTGAAGCAACGCAAATTAATAAGAATTCAAACAAAATTTCGGCATTAACTATTCGTTTCTCAGAGAATCCACGAATTCAACAAATTCTACGAGGAATTTTACATCAAGAATTCAGGCACGATGTCTACTATTCTAAGGGTTGCAACAATCAGCCATTTGATAATAAGATTTACATGCAACATGATGGGTTTATCAACAAATTCAACCTCAGACGTCATCAACAATTCATTTTCTCGGGTATTCACAAGATCAACAAACAATAATATATAGCCCTATTCCATACTACGGCTTTTTGATTCCCCACAAGGAAAGTGTTTACAAGGTTCAAAGTGTCGGAGTATTATTCGTCAAATATATGTGGCTTGGATATGGCATTATCTTCCTCGAAACTACAATGATCAAATACTCGACAATAAGATTTATGTTCAACATTATGAGTTTCATCACTGAAATCACCCCATCGGGCATCAACAACAACAACATCTTTGTTTATTTTACTCTTTTCGGTATTATTAACATGGAGTGATAAAAATATATATATATATATATATCAACAGTAAAAACTACAAAGTTTGAGTTATGAATTCAAGATTCAAGAGCACTAGTTCAAGACTGAGGTCAAAACTACCACCAAAGTTCACAAATTCAAAATGTATCAGAACATGAATTTATTTATTTATTTGTTTTGAGTAAGGATGTAGAGTTCAAGGCTTGAGTATTCACTCACAGGCTTGTAAAAAAAAAAATTTAATCACTCTCAAGCTTTACAAGTTTTAACATCAGTGGAATTTAAAGCCACAAATATTAAGGACCAGTGGATTAAAGTTCTTGGGCTACAAAAAATCCATTGAAATTAGAGACTCTACAATGTTTCTTTTACACAGGAACTTCCACCAAAATAAAAAAATTCAGAGGGCTTACCCACAGATTTACGCCAATGGAGGAAAAGCACGACTGAGTCAGAGTTAATGTGGGAAGCAGAAAATAGGCCATGAATGGGTGGAACCAGTACCGAGGATAGCCAGAGTAAATCGGTAACAGCACGAGCAGTAGGCGAGAAAGAATATAGGTAGACCAACGCCGCGTTGAGTGGGCAGAGTGGTCAATAATCAGTTACGGTTGACGAATGAAGCAACGGTGCAAGAGCTAGGCGTGAAATGAACAAACCACTCGAGTTGAGTGATCGGCGCTGGATGGTCGAAGCCGGAGGCAACAGTGGTGCCACAGAGGAGTCGACAACCACACACGTCACGTTAAGTGGGCAACGTGTGTGGTTTGACTCTAAAAATAAATAAATAAATTGCTGGACCCTCGGATGTTCATGAAGGATCAAAAATCTGAAGTCATGCAAGCTTTTTAGAGAATTGAAGAATTCAAGTTGACTTTCGAAAAGCAAATCAGTGGCAAATATATATATATATATATATAAATTAATTAATTAAAAAAAAAGATATTTATTTATTTATTTAATATTACTTGTCGATTTTATCCGTAATTTACGGTGAGTCCTCAGCTTTATCCATGGGTTATGATGAGTCATCAATTTTATCCAAAGGCCACATGAAGACAAAACACATGCCCAGAAAATGAAGCGAAGCATGACTGACAAGGTGAAACTATGCATGTTTGAGAAAATTAAAATTTCTCATACACACAAAGGGCAAATGTAAGAGGAGCTAATATAAGCCCACTAAAATTAATTAAGCCCAATAGTCCAAGGTTAGTGGGCCCGAATTTATCGCAAGTCCAAGATTGGTGGGCCCAGATTTATCGCCATCAAACGGGCCAGACTGCTCTAAGCTTCCAAAGAGTTCGGATCCACAAACTTAGAAACTTAGTTGGACCTGGACTCGAAAGGGTATAGCAAGCCTAGAGATCCGAGGCACTCGGGCTTCGAACAGATTCGAACGCAATCTAGAAGTCGCTCCGTTAATGAATCCCAAAACACTTGCTGGCTCGGAGCTTTCCGGGATCTACGCACCAGAACCATGGGCGTAATAGAGTTCGAACAAAGGACCCGATCCCGAAGACGGTGAGTGGAGATAAATTCACTCTTTAGTTAAACTAGCCTATACCAGGGTTCGGGATATACGCACCAGAACAATAGGCGTAATGGAGTTCGAACAAAGGACTCGATCCCAAGAGCGGTGAGTGGAGATAAATTCACTCTTCAATTAAACTAGCCTATACCCAGGTCGAGGTGGCACGACCCCAGGGGGTCCATGAGACTCTGCAATATTTAGCGGTGGGGGATCCTCTAGGACTACCTCGGCCCATTAGGATGATTGGGGGATCATTGGTTAGGTGTGGCTAAGAAGAAGGGTTCGTCGAGAGGTTGATCTCCTCTTTGGGGTTCTCCTCATTCTCGGAGAGGTTACCTCCTCGGACAAGGTGGTTAGATAGAATATTCCCCATGTGTCTTGCACATGGGCTCCATCTTACATCATGAAGTGCCTATAAATAGCACTCACCCATAACTTTACAAGGGATGAATTTTGATAAGATAACTCTTGAGAAAGAACTAATTTCCCTTCTCTATTATCAATCTTGAGAGTGAAAGTGAGAGATCCATAAAAAAGCCTTGCCATTATTCTTTCTCTAGCTACTTTGCCTTCTTCACCCAATCTCTTACCTCCATCATCTCTTTGCTCTTGTATTCTTAGTCGAGACTGTTGAAAAATCTAAGCCTCTCATCATCTTCTAAACAATTCGAATTTTTCTTCAAAGATTTTCGAAGATCTTCGAATTTTTCAATGACGTTCTTGAAACCTCTCATAAATTACATAATCCCTAATCAACTATTATGGTTTTCAACAGAGCCTATTTTTATTTTACCTACAATGTCCAGCTATTCCGCCTAGTATAACCTTAAAAATCCAATGCAAAGTAGAGAATTTTTTTTATTTTAATTCTTCTTCCTTTCTCCCTCCTCCCTCCCCTCTCTTCCTCTTCACTCTCCAACTCCAACCTCCGGCCACCACTGCCATACCCTCCCCCACTTTGATTTTACTTGAGTCACTCTTCCTCTTCTCTAGTTTTCTAATGAGACAAAATATATCATTCCAATGATTAGAAAGTCGATCAAACATGGTGTCAACTAGCATTAAGTGAAAAGTAGAGAACTATACATGACTTGTTATCATTAACCACAAGTATTCAGGCAAACATAGGGTAGACAAGATAAAAATAATAAAAACATGGGGAATAAAAGGTCAGAACCAGAAGATCATTAGCAATAATGTGCACAGTTAAAAGGCAATGATGACAACAAAGGAGGAGATCTCCTAACTAACAACGCATTTTTATCTTAGTTCAATAGCTTACAAGTAAAAGAACAACAACAACAACAAAAAAATGTTCCAAGATCTAGGCGCGTAAATGCACACTTTTATATACATAATCCTCAAAGATATATTACAGCAATGACATTAAAAAAAAGAAAAAAGAAAAAGGGAAGCGTAACGGGAAGCAAATTAAATATATATATACACACATGTATATACTATATTGTGAGATATGTTCTTATCATAGTAGCCCCAGTTGGGTCAGAAAGTAGATGCCTGACGAGGCACATTCTCATGTTGTTTGGAGCTATAACAAACATGTAGAAGGCAAATAATGCAAGGTCGGCGGAGGAAAGAGTAGAGCCAAGAAATCCCTGCCACATCCTGCAAATGCAATTAATCCATCAATAAATCCAATTCCAGTTTCAAAATGCAACCCGGCCATGTTATATAATCCATTTGGGACCTAAGTAAAGCACTGACACTTCAAGATGGGTGTTGTATCTGTTGACATACCATGTGGCATTTCAATTTTATTATTTATTATTTTTTGTAGGATGTGTAAGGACACGTGTGTCCAGTGTTAGGACATGCCACAGGAGACCTTTGCAGTTTTTTTTTATTTATAATGATTTTAGAAAGTTGATTTGAGGTCAAAGTAAAATATATAAAAATATAGAGGAAAAAAATAAAAATACACCCACATATGCCTCTCATATATATGTATTCTAAATTTATGTTCATATATTTTACATAATAAATAAATAAAAAATATGAAAAATACATTTTTTCCCGTATCCCTTCCATGTCCATATCCTAATTTTTTGGTAATCATTGCGTCCAGTGTTTTCGTACATGTACCCATGTATGTGTTCATGACCATGTCCATGTTCATGCTTCTAAGTTTTTTGGGACATTAGCTAATTTGATGCATAGACATGGATAGTTAACTAAAAGATTGATGTCTGTAAGCATGCCCATTGTCCAGATCTCTAGCAATAGCAACCTTCTCCCAAACTATTTGTACTAGCAGATTGAATGCCAAAGTCTAGATTGTGGTATTCAGTTTTGGGTGCCCAATGTTTGGATTTGAACATGGGTCCACCAGAAGTCTATGCAGATCAGAACAATGGAATTCTACCCAAATCATTGCAGCATTGCAAACTTGTACTGGTAAAACAACAGAACAACGATTCACACAACAAGAACAGATCTACTGTCACGACTCACAACTGCTCTCAACAGCATCTTACTCTTAGTATCACCCCAACTACCATGAAACTGGCCATTTATCATATTGCCCCATCGTACTCTTAGATCTACTGTCACGACTCACAAGGGTCTCTAATGAGCTTATTTGCAAGATAAATTAAATCTCAATTCAAATCTAGCAATTTTAGCTTTGACTAATTCAGATTAGCACTTTCATTTTGTAGTCCTTCCATTTTGTGGTATGGTTGACCATGCATGCAGTTTAAGGAAAGCCAAGAATTAAAATATATTTCCAAAAATGCCCTCACATCAAATCTTTTTTGGGGAATTGGGATTGTATTTCAACGTGTATTACAAATAAGGTGATATGGAAAAGTGACAATTAAACGTTTTGACTTCTCAAAATTCGAGACATAAAAGGAGACAAAAAGGTTAATATATTCAAATAAACCTTTTTGTTTCTTATACTTAATTTTATATTGCTAACCAAAAATCACTTTTTGTTTTGAATATTTTCATGGAGGACTTCAATCCCCATGGTTTATGACACCATACCAACTGTTTACAGGCCTAAGGAAGCAGAGATTAGTTGTGTTCAGGTTTGGTTTATTAAGAAACTGAGGTTGTAAAATGAGTTCAAGCCTGGTTTGCTAATTAATGAACAAGCTTCAACAAACTTTTAAACAGGTTGAACCTCAGCTGTTCATCAGTGACTTTATTCATTTGATGCCATAGATAAAAAAAGATCTACAACACAATTGAGAGAAGGAAGTCAAACTTTGATCATACCAAGTGGGTAAACGAAAGAAGGTGTGGAAGAATGTCCTAATGCCATCAATATCCAGTTGCAGAATAAGCGCCAGTCCAAAGAGAAAGAATGCTCTCTGGCGTTTCCTTTCTTGCGGCCAAAGAGTGTTCCAAGCTGGAAAACAAAACGAAAAGAATTATAATTGACATGCTGCAAGTTACAACTTCAGAATGCGGCAACTTCTTAAGGGTAAATTAGTCCACCTTGGTACTGCATTCAATTATCCATCACATGCAGTTGCTTCTACATACAAATCACTGAAAAGAAGAATCTAACATTGAACAGGAACATAAAAGATCCATTATTGAGACAACAATAATAAATATTTGAAAATGTGAAAGGGCAGACACTCCATTTTTATATATAAAAAATTGACCATCTTATATGATTAGTTGACCCATAAAAGGGGGTGCCAAAATGAGGTAGTGCAGTTAAAGGGTGCCCGAGTTTAAACATAGGTTGCATGTTTTATGGGTGAGTTAATGTCGGAGAGCTTAGCTGCAGGGCCACTGCCAAAGATTTACAGGTTTATAGAACAATAAAACAGAGTCCTACTCCCACATCATATTGCTATGATATGCACTATTCCTATTTACCAACCATGTTGCATTTATGCAATTATTGTTGGAGATAAGATTATACTGTCAAAGATATCAAAAGATATAAAATATATCATAATATATGGAGATCCCATGATTTGTTTGCATCTTTAATTTATTTCAATTCATTAACTGAAGGATTTGATTATATCTTTTACTCTATATATATGATGTATCATGTAAACAAGAGTATCAAATAGAGTGAATGATAGATGTAGCCCATAGGGCTTTGCGTGTGTGAATGTAGGCCAATATTGGTTGAACCACGTTAAACCTTTGTGTTCTTTCTTTTCTCTTTTTTGTCTATATTATCTCTCTCCATATTCAACCTTATGGCCTTATAACAAAATTCAACTTGGTATGACCCTACCAAACCCTAGGCTTTTTTCTCTGTAGAATGCTTTCTCACTACACCTTTTTTTTGTTATCAAGGTGCTTTTCTCTCTTCCTTGAGTTGACCAATAATTTGCTGATGTGATAAGCAACCTTCGTGATTTTTACTTGTTTCGGGGCTGCCAGTGTATTCAGTAGCATTATTCTATGATACACCGAGCTTTCTGACTACTTCTCTACCATTTTAGGTCCCTATGCTGATATGGTAAGCACATAATTGGTTCTTGTTTTTGGACTACTGGTGTGTTCGGTAAAATTCTTTGTGGGACGCCATTGTTCCGGCCTTTTTGTTTGTGTTGATTTGTTGTTGCTTTCTCTCTCTCGATTGGTTTCTCTTGCTGCCATCATCACTGATTCCAAGCATGTTTCTCAATTGCAAGATGTTGATTCCTTGCCTATGTTCTTCGAAGTTGTCGATGAAGGGAGTTATTACAATTGTTGTGGTCCTTCTGCAACTTCACTGTAGTTGTTTGTAATAATCATCTTATTTTTGAGTTTAAGTTAGACACTTCACTACAACCGTTCGTGTTCCAACTTGAGGGAGAGTGTTGGAGATAGGATTATATTGTCAAAGATATTAGAAGATATCATAATATATGAAAATCCCATGATTTGTGCCTACTATGATTTTTTATATCTTTGATTTATTTTAATTCCTTCACAGAAGATATTTGATTGTATATCTCCCACTCTATATATACGGTATATCATGTAAACAATAGTATCAAGTTGAGTGAATGAAAGAAATAGTCCATAGGGCTTTGTGTGTGTGAATGTAGGTCAATATTGGTTCAACAACGTTAAATCTTATGTGTTCTTTCTGTTCTCTTTTTTATCTCTATTATCTCTCTATATTCAACCTTAATGCCTTATTACAAAATTCAACTATTATTACTATCCACACGTAGTCTGAATAAGTCACACACCAATGCCCTTCACGTTGTTTTTCTTTTTTCTCTTGCTTTTAATATGTAACTAGCCAATTAAGGTTCCCTTACCTACATAGTTGCCAAATGAAACTAACTCCAAAACTCTAAAAAAAGGTGAAGCGGCCTCCAAAATTCTTGTTAATATTAGTCACAACTAAGCCAAAGGTCTCCTAGCAAACTAATAAGCCCAAATGATATTGTGAGCATAACCCACAACTCTGTCAAGGATTTACCATAAGGTGGGATGGATGTCATCTAAAGTCAATAAGTTTGTTGTGAATATGTAGTTTTAGTATCATTGTTTCGTTTTTGGGTCAAGGGTACTTTTGTATATTTTCTTTGTTTAATTAGGGCTTGTTTCAATTTCAATTTGTATAAAGTACAGACTATTAGCAATAAGAGATCAAGGCAGTGTTGATTTCTCTCTCTAAACTTACACCTTGACCCCCAAAATCTTGGTTGCACAGTTGAGTAAGAGTGAAAAATGTTTCCTTCCTCTTTCCAAAAACCAAGAAACTGAAGAGGAAGATGGTGTAGATATGGAGACCAGGCCCCCGGCTCGCAGCAAATAGAGAACTGAATGTAAAAATTTATGATTATTGATTGATATTTGATTGATAGATTACAAGATTGATAAATTCTGTATATTACAATTCCTATATATAGAGGAGAAGATGGTAGTGGAGTGTGTGATAGTGGAGGTGGTAGGTGTGGAGAAAAATAGTGGAGGTAGTAGGTGAGTGGTATAGTGGAGGTGGTAGGTGTGGAGAAAGATAGTGGAGGTAGTAGGTGAGTGGTAAATTCTAACACTGAACAGAGAACACAACCGGGTAATGAAAAAAAATAATAATAATGGATAAACTGCCTCCTGAGCTGAGCATCCATTGGGTACAAAAATTGTGTTTGTAATTGTAGTCCTTAAATTGGGTCATAACTACATTGGGTTCGTTCCATGAAAGGTGGGTTTCTTCCTCTCTCCCACTCAATTAAAGCCAAACTACCATAAAGAGTAGGATTATTAGAGTAAAGAAACATCTTATTTCAATCCTGGGATGAGCTTGGAGATGACTAAGTTTTGGAAACCCTCTTCCATCTTTTCCTAATATACCATTCTTACAATTATTTGAAATAAATGTTAAGGGTTTATTACACTTTCTACCCCTAAACTATCGCCAAATTATCTATTTAGTCCCTGAACTAACGATTGAGTATATTTAGTCCCTAAAGTATATCAATTAAAATCTATTTAGTCCATAAACTATCGATTGAATCTATTAAGTTCCTAAAGTATTTAATTTAAATCTATTTAGTCCCTGAAAGGATTATAAAAATAAAATATAAGCTCATAAGTATTATAAATTAGTAAAAAACGCTACCAAGTTAAGATTTTATTCTAGAAAAATCTTAAATTTCTATTTTCTCTTTAAAAGGTTTTTTTTTTTTTCTTTCTCCTGCTATGTTTAAATTAATATCAGAGGCTGGTTTACTATTGAAGAAGAAGAATTAGATAATTTAAACAAATTATAATAGACAAAATAATACATTAATTAAGTTAAAAAAAGAATTTATCGAAAGCCTTAAAAACAACCAATAAGAAATTATAAACAAAATATGGTATATTATACTAGGTAAAGACAAGCAAATAGCCATTGTAAAAGATAAGTAAGAAAGTATTATTGAGAATTATCCTTACCCTTATAAAGAAAATTCACCAGAAGAACTGACGCCCATTTTTTGAAAATTTTTAAAAAAATTTGAAATTAAATTTTAACTAGATGTCTTTTACTATTTTATAATATTTATGTGCTTATATTTTATTTTTGTAATTCTTTTAGGAACTAAATAGGTTTTAATTAAATACTTTAGGGCCTTAATAGATTCAATAGATAGTCTAGAGACTAATTATATACTAAAGGAATTAAGTAAACTCAATTGATAGTTCAGGGACTAAGTAGACAATTTAATAATAGTTTAGGGGTAGAACCTGTAATAAACCCAAATGTTAATTATGTTAAGTAATTGGTACTATCTTTGAATTGAACGCACATTATAGCCTAATCCGCTTGCTTGCTTACCGTATACACATCCCATGCGTAAATGTCCACATGGGAATTGATTGCACTTATCCCTTTTCTTTTTCTTTTGATACCTAGAAATTTGAAATTTGAAATTGCTGTGTATCATATGACTTATGAGTAATATTAAATTGATAAATATTGACAGAAAACACAGCATATATAAATAATTTAAATAGTTTTGTACCTAGCATCGAGATATTTTCAGTACTCCAAGATCGAGAAAGCTTGTCCCTTGAATGTCCTTGCTTCAAAATATTTGCTATTACAGAAGCATATTTTGGAGCCTCTGACAGTGATCGCACAACTGAATAGCCTGTTTGATGGTGGTGTAAAATAACTGGAAACATGATTGAATAATTGAAGGAGATGCGGATTGATTCACTTTTCTTACCTGTTGCAGGATGAACCATGCTAGCTGCGGCACCAAATGCAAGATTCTTTTGCTCTGTATTCGGTAATGATCCACCAACTGGAATATATGACCATTCCTGCATATAAAAAGAAAGCAGTATAGCAGCGAGTATCTATCAACGCAATTAGATTCAATATAGAAGTCCCAAAATTTTACATGCTCAGGCAAGGGCTCGAGAATACTACCTCTTCATAAGTTTTTATAACACGGACACCCATTGTCTCTAATCTGGATATGAGTTTTTTCTTTAATATATCAAAAGGCATGGCATCCTTTGAAGCCAAACATGTTTCCTGCAATAGACTTTGTACGAATACTCACATAATTGTGAAACAAATGTAATTCTAATTTATATGAAAACTGACACAAATCAAGCAAACCTCAAAGAAGACTCTTGTTGGGGACATAGGCATGGCATAAAGAAATGTTGGATATTGTGCTTCTAAACACTGAACTTTTGGTTTGACATAGTCTCTGTAGTCCATGAAAACCATCAAGTTGGGGTCATATGGATTGTTTTCTACCTGAAAGAAAACTTGCAAATGATCACTAAGCGGCAGCTCCAAACAATTTCTTTAAACTTCCAAATGCTAGCAGAGAGGATAAGAGGTATAGTTAATGACAATTTCTATGTTACTAGTTGAGTTAATAGTTATCATAAGTTTCCAAATTTCTTCCCCTCTTCCACCCTCCCTCCCAATCACCCGGCTCGCCTTTTGGAAAACCATGGAACATAAACTTAATTTATCTTTGGTGATGGACCAAACAAACATCGGCACAATTATTCAACTCACGAGCTTGAAGCAGAATTTGGGATGAATTAGCTTAGTTATGATACCAGTATAAGCAAATATAGTCAGAGACAGAGACTCAGAAATGGACTGCACTGAAGATAGAACAATATACTTACATCCGTAATGTACCTACTAAACATCGTGCACTCAAGCAGTCATGACTGACTCAGAAATTCACTACACTGAAGATAGAACAAAATCATCATATTTACGTCCTTAATGTATCTACTGAGCATGGTGCATTCATGCCATCACGACTTCAATGGAAGATACAGTATAAAGAGTGCATCATAATTACACTTAAACCCACTGGAGGAACTTCATATGGTGAGATATGCATCTTCTTCCCTGTATTTCACGACAAATGCTGGAAAGGCCTATATTGATATTTCTAACAGTGCATGTAACTTCATCAACTACTTGAAGTTCTAGTATAGTTTAAAACAGAAGATCCTATATTCCTACCTCAACCTCCATGCCATAAGCTGTTTGGACAGAAACCCTCGGACCCCCAACCTCATATTGCAAAAGTTTCCCCGAAGCTGCTCCAGATGCAACTGTAGCAAGCCTATAATAATAATATGGTAAAAGCTTGAAAAAAGTGGTAATAGTTAACACAAAAGTACAACTACTATGCTGCCGTAAATAGTACTTAATGTAAGGAATATTTCATTTTACCTGCATGGAACAACGACATTCTGTTCGCACTCTATGAGACTCTGACCATTTGTACTTTCAATAATCCTTTCCACTTTTGAGCTAAGATATGAAACACCTGACTCGACACACCTAGGGAAAATTAATATCAATTATAAATTTATACGATAGCACCAGACAATGGTGAGTTGACAATATAATGAAACAAACGACGACTGCTAGAAAAACAACAATAACAAACAAGTCCAGAAAAAATCTTATCTTACCTTTTTACTAGCTCCTCATGGAGCAAGTATCGACTAACTCGCCCATAAGCACGGCCAATCAGAATGGGATCATTGTCATCAAGATATACAATAGTATCTCCCCAAACATGCTCAATACACCCTTCAAGTCCAAGATCTGAAAAAATATTTAAAATAAGCTTTGCCTTACAAATGGGGGCAAACAATATCAGAGTTCCACAAAAGGTATTTTTTAATAATTACCAACCCTTGAAAAATAGAATGATAACAAAGTTTGTAGAGTATGAGAAGGTTCAAGCTACTGATAGGACACTTGGTTGATTAAAATGGATAGTCTATGCTTTGCCAAAACTAAGTACAAATAAAGGAACCAAGTTCGCTGTAGCATAGTGGTGCAGGAACACCATTCAAAAGGAGGGTGGGATTAGATGTTCGAGTCTAGCTGTTAACCAACATATAACAGAAAACAACAGACAGGCAGGGATGTTATTGCTGCCGCAGACATGAAGTTCCACAAAACTCCATAATTGGAAAAATAACATACAATGACATTGACATCTATATCCTTCACAGAATACTAACTCAGATGAAGCCCAGCAATAATTACTGAACTTGTAATTAGCTAAGCCACCTCAGAAAGTTTGTATGAAGGGAAAAAATAACCGGATATTTAATGTTTAATGCACCCATGAAAATGGCACAAAAGCATGAGATTGAAAGGGATTGTGTTTGTGAAAGTGAAAGTGAAAACCAACATTGTGATAAAAAAGGATAACCTTATAAAAGTAGTAGGTTGCATGTCCTGATGTTGACTAGCATGAAAAAAACAGACATTTTCTGCTGTTTGTGGTAAAATTTTTCAAAATATTGCACATATAATGAATGAATGCATTAAAATCGTTTTCCAACTGGAACATCAATACCTCTAAATTCATCCTCCCATACACCATAATTATTTGTAAAAGGAAGATCCGGTCCAATCAGTCCAACACTCAAACCCAACTTAGCTGATTCTGCAGCCAGAGCAAGGCCAGCTGGGCCACAACCAATCACCACCAAATCTAGTATAGTGTTTCCAACCGATATACGGGGTAACTGAAAAGGCAGACAATAAGGAATAGATTTCAAAACCAAAACCCGTAATCATAACATAGTACTATTGCAAAAACAAAAGACTATAATGATGCATATGAGAATGTTAGCAACTTGTAGTATATCATATTTGTTGACAGACTTTGGATAAATTTGCAAGTAAAACTACTGAACAACAAAGCTGAAAGCAAAGCTACAGCAACGGCAACATGGGATCCTTTTTCCCCCATAAAAAAAATACAAATGTAACCTTCTAGGATTAATAGGGTTTTCTTCCCTCTAAAAATATGAAACCCTTACAACATTTGTATTCCTGTTCTTGTATGACTGCATCAAGATACCCAGTCACAACAGGCACATAGGAATTCAAACCCTGGTTTTGAATTGGATTTGCTAACAACTAAATAGCCCACGCCCGTTAGACTTTGGTAACCCACGACTTTGGTTTTGAGTTTGATGCTTTAACGGGCATTTGCAACAACTAAATAATGCAAATTCCAATCCATAATTCACATGTTACCATACATTTTCATACCTTTTTACATATATCAATACAATTTTTACACACACAACAATGGCCGCTGTGGTTAGCATTTCACTCTAACAAATCATACTAGCACTTGAGGATAACTTTCAATTAACCAATTGAACATCATAACAATTAAATAACAAAACGCCCCCCCCCCCTCTCTCTCTCTCTCTATATATATATATATACATACATACATGCATGCATACATACATATATATAGATAAAGATATACACGATCACACAAGAGCTCGTGAATCAAACCTTGTCGGCGAGTTTAGACTGTTTCTCCATAAGCTTGTTCTGTTGCATTTGGACGAAGAGAAGCTCAGAGCCACCGGCCTTGATGTAGTCTTCTTCGTCGGCGAATCCTTCTTTGAAGGCGACACAGCTCTCGCTTCCTGCACTACTAGACCTCACTCGAAGAGACGATGTATAAGAACTGTGTCTGTGAATTACACGAGTCAGCGTATTTCTCTGTCTCTTCTTTCGATACCTCCAAGTAGGGCATGTGGAGACCGCCATTGCAGCGAAGTTTCGAGCTCCGATACACTCCATTGGGATTGATTTTCTGGCTCTGGTTTTAGAACCTTGGCTCTGTAGCCATTAATGTGCTTTGAAGCTTTAGGAATTGGAAATGCAAAGAGTGCTGGGACTGTAGCGATGACGAACCCTTTGCTTTCTCTCTCTACTCTCTCTCTTCTTCTTCTTCTCTCTCTGTATCTCTGGTTCTGCGTTCGTCGCTTTTTCTCTCTCTACCGGGAAGGGATAGGGAAGAACCTTTCTCGATGAGGTGGTGAAGTGAAAACGCCACGTGGAAAGATTTGATTTGCTGGAATTTGGGGAAACTGCTTCATCCAAATTGACTGTTCGTCGGGGTGAAACGACGTCGGATTTGCTCCAATCATCCTATGGCTAATTGTGCTGATACGCACCCGACGGTGACACTTATCCTATTTAGATAAATTACACCACGACATTTATTTAAAATACGAATCACTTTGTTTGGTTTTATATTTTTAAAAAATTTTATTTTTTATAACTTTTTTGTTTTTATTAAATTTTTTTAATATTTTAAGTAATTTTTTTTACTTTTTAAATATATCTAACATAAATATACTTAAAAAGTAAAAAAATTATGAAAATGACCTTTTAAAAATTTATGAAATACCAAAAATATAAAAAAAATACGAGAATTTAGTATATTTTTTATATTTTTATGTATTTATTAATTTTTTAAAATATTTTTTTACAAATTTTTTACTTTTTAGATATATCTAAGTAATGTGCATTTAAAAAATAAAAATAAAAATATTTAAAATTTTAAAAATATTCACTAAAAACAAAAAAATACGAAAAATCAAAAAAACTCAGTTTTCAAAAAACTCAAACCAAACACACTGAATAGCTTTTTGTGGTTTGAAAATTGACAAATATCTTCTTGTCAAAAATTTTAATTTAACAAAATTAATTAAAAAAGTGAAATTTTTAACTGTTCACCTATATAATAATAAAATTATTTGAATTATTAATTGAAATAAAATTTTAACTTTATTAAAAACTGTTAATTAATTTGATGATTTATTAATAAAAAGATATATTTGTTATGAAATTAGAAATTTTAAGGGGTATAATGTAATTTCTAGAAATACAGAAGATAATTTGTAATTTAAGTAAATATCAGAAAATGTGTTTTTAATTTATTTTTTTTATTTATTATTAAATGATTTTTTTAATGTTAGTTGTTGAATTTTTAAACGTGTGCTTTTTAAAATTGTAATTGATGAGTATAGACAAGGGGATATTATGGGGTGGTTTGGGTATGGTTTATTTTTAATTTTTATAAAAAAAGAAATTGAAAAAAAATAAACGAATTTGGTTTAAGTCTAATCAATGGAGTTAAATGAATTTTCACACAAACACAAATATATTAGACACGTGGATTTCTCTATAAGTAATTAAATAAAGAGTAAATAAAACAATACAGAATATGTGTTATTCAAATAAATTGTTACTTATTATAAGTTGTATGAACTTAAACAAAAATAAAAAACTGAAAAATACAACCATCGATAGAAAAAAAATAAATGGGGGTTGAAAATACTAATATTGACTTACTCCTAAAATTACTAATTCAATTACTCCTAATTAGATATTTACCAATTGTAAGTGGTTTGAGATATAATTCTTTGTTTATCTTTTCTCATCATACTTATAAGCCACAGTTTGCAGCTTCCTTATGCTGTGTTTGGTTAGAGGATTTGGAGAGGGATTTGGAAAGGGAAAGGGAAAAGGTGTGTGAAACTATGTGAAATATAGGCATGATTTATTCACATTTCACCTACCTTTTCCATTTCCCTTTCCAAATCCCTCCCCAAATCCCCCAACCAAACACAGCATTAAAGTTCTCCACACCCGTTGCCATGACCCATCTGTTAGGTTGTTACCTATTTTCAAGGAGTGGTTCAAGTGATCCCTTATTCTGTACAACTCCTTCAGCTTTTGAGGAGTTCTTTTGGCCTCTTAATAAGCAAGTTCACCCTGCACAAACTAATAACAATAATAATATTATTAATTATTCATAATAATAATGGATGATAAAAATAATAAAATGTGGGCGTAATCAATTAAAAAGATAATTTATAATCTGAATTGATAGAGCATAATCGAATTTGACCATAATTAATATGTCATAATTGATAGAAAAATAAAATGTGATGCCAACCGTATCTCTCTACATTCATTCATTAAAATGTTATCTTCTAGAGAACTAATTTGATCGTCAAAAAATTATGAAAAAGGATATCTACCGATGAATTCTCAAGAATTTCTTTGCCGAATCAGTATGGTAAGACCCAAAGTCCGACCAATTACTCCAGCACAATTGTGGATCCAACTACCTTTATAGACCCACCATTTACTAATTATCCTCAATAATTATTTAGTTAAATGTATATCTCTTTATGTTCATAAATAATTTCATACTAATTGATATAAGAAAACAAAAACAAAATATCCTCATATTTTGGAAAAATATAATGGACGGGTCATTTGAGAATATGCTATTTTAATAAATAAAAAAATTATTAAAATATGAGGTAAAAATTTTATTATATTTGGGATGACTTTTTATTATTTACGAAAAACTACATAAAAAGTAGAGAAAAAATAGAATTTTAGACTTTATTTTTGTATAATTTATTCGCTTTTTGACTTTTTAATAACTTTTAGAGTAAAATATAAAATTGTCAAATAAGACCTTAAATTACATGTCCAAATTTTTTATTTTTTGGTCAATAAGTCAAAGTTTTAATCTTTTGGGGCCAAAAGGAAATCTATTTGTCTAAAATGATACTAATTTGTCCACATCACACCTATATGTATACACTTTTCATCTATATGATCAAATGCCACTTATATGTATACTTCTTGTTCATTTTGTCTAGTGTCACATATTGATCCATCTTACCACTGCTAGCTGCAGCCAAAGATTTTTTTGGCTAATTTTTTGACCAGCAATGATTGAGGGTCACAATTTTTGTGGCTCAAATGGCTCGAAATTGTCAAAACGACGTCATTTTGAGTACAAAACAACTTCAAAATTGCCAAAACGACGTCGTTTTGGCAATTTTGAGCCATTTGAGCCACAAAAATTGTGGCCCTCAAACATTTTCCTTTTTTGACCCTGTGACTTTTTCATTGACTTTTGTGACGTATTCTTATCACTAAAAAATATTCATCATGTTTGGTTTCAAAAAATTTAATTTTTAATTTTTGTATTTTTTTTAGTATTTTTTTAATATTTTACTCAATTTTTTTAGATACACATAATCTAAATATGCTTAAAATGTATAATATTTGTGAATTTTTTTAAAAAAACTTCACCAAATAAAAAAAATAAAAATTCAATACATTTTCGTATTTTATTGTATTCAATGATTTTTTAAAAACATTTTTATATAATTTTTTTACTTTTTAAGTGTATTAAGATTACGTAGATCTAAAAATTTTAAAAACTGATTAAAATATTTTTAAAAATGCATTAAAAACATAAAAATACAATTAAAAATTCAAAAAAATATTTTTAAAAACTCAAAACCAAACACGGTAATTAATCCACAGCCTAATGTCGTATCCCTTTATAAATACGGGCTTCTCACCAATAAACTTAACTATAATAAGTGTAACACCTGCCTCCTTGATTACCTGTTAAATTGGAAGTTACTTTGATTATGTGCCCTTATGTGATTTATATGCTTATATGGATGAAAATTATGTGCCATGAATTGTTTGATGTATGTTTTAATTAACAGATATGATAATTTGTGAAAAGACATGTCTGGTTTGTGAAATTAGAAGGTTAAAAAAATTAAATGTTGGACTAGGTGGTTAAAACCTAATTCACCTTTGCAAGATTAAGTTTGGGTAAAGTTAATTCGATTATAATGAGGATTGACTGGATTAAGTGAATTGGATTGAAGTTATTTTAAGCTTAAAAGTTGATTAAAAAAAATTGAGACTAGCTATTTTGTAAGTTGGAACTCAATAATAGGTAAGGAAGAGAGAGTTAGAGTTGTAGAGAGAGTTCTAGAAAAGAGAGAGAGAGGGCTCAAGAAGAAAAGAAAGGGAATCAACAGGATTAGAGTTAAACTTCATCAATTTCACAATCAAAGGTAAGAATTCTTGTCTAAATTCTTGAGATTAAGTTAATTTACACTTGAGATTGTAGGGTTTAAGTTGAATTGAGGAGTTGGGAGATGTAATTCATGTTATAAACCCTAAAGGGAGAACTTGTAGGAATAACTCAAAATCTTCTCATACATGTCATCTTTTATGATTAATCACTTATTTCTTGCATGATCCTTGAAAAGTGAGGATGAAACTCCATGGATTTTGAGTTGGTAAGTGAACCTTTGCATAATTGTTGATTTTTGGCCCTAAAGCCTAGAATTGATCTTGTTGTATAACAAATGAGTCTTGTTTTGTAATCATGGTTTAGGTTAAAGCTAGAACTTAGTTATTCAACTTGTTTTTGTGAGTTTTGGGTTTTGATTTGCATAAATTTGAAGTTAAGGTTGCAAAAATGGGACTTCAAACTTAGAGCAGATTTTCGGCCTAAGCTGCAACCCATACCGCTCATGTGGCCTGGGCCACCGCATGAGTAGCCAACCTTGTTTTGGCCAAATTCGGTTATGAAGTTCACCCGCTCGTGTGGCCAAGGCCACCGCACGAGTGGCTAGACCACTGCATGTGAGGCTGAGGCCATTGCACGTGTGATCAGCAAGGCAACCCCATTTGATTTTCCTTCTGTTTTCTCTGACTTCCGGGCCTCCAATTACATGATTTTCAACTGTTTCCATTAGGGATGTAAGAAAAACCGAAAAAATCGACCAAACCGATTGAACCGGACCAAACCGGCTACATTTGGTCTGTTTTTTAATAAGAATCGGTCTGTGCGGTTTTAAAATTTGAATTTTTTCGGTTTTCGGTTCGGTATCGGTTTAAGCACTTTGTGCACCAATCTAAACCGAAACCGACCGCTTCAACACATGTTGTATTTATAATATATATATTTATATATAATCTAATAATCTAATGATATTAATAAGTATAATAAATTATTAACATTAATTAATTAACCTTATCATCTTTATAACCTAAGTTTGTAAACTCTTATTATATATAATTTTAACTCTAACTCATTATTCTTGAAACCTTAGTATTTTTAAACTTTTTTTGGTTTTTATTTTTGTTAATTTAGGAATTAAAAAGTATGT